GGTAAGTTTTGTTTTAAATGAAATTATTTGTTAACAAGGTATTGTTCTAATTAACACTATAAGCTTAAGAAGATAGGCCGCTGGTAATATTTTGTACATTATAATAAATCGCTGTTATATCCACATACTGACTGCGTCCAATATTTTCTTGGGAACTACATTGAAACTTGTTCCGCGGTTGAGTTATCGAAGTTACTGAGAAGATTGGAAATATTTTATGTGATGTGTACGTCGTAATTTTTAAGATATTTTCTAATAAGTAGTACGAGGGAGTCTGGGATGGCTAGCAAATTATTCATGTTGAAAGTTATTAAATTTTGTTAGTTACTTTAACATGAGATCTACTACTCCCTACTAACTTCTACTCGATAAAAAAATAGGTTTGTGTGTATAATATATTATTGAAAACAGTTGACATTTACAATCTGCTTACATAATCCAACAAAACAAATTAATCTTGTACTGCAAATGTAAGACGGTGTGAGAGTCAGCCGTTGTCGGTTTTAATGTATTACTCAAGAAATTGAACAAAAGTGTCGCACTTTGTGTTAGTATACTGGCGGGCGGCGGGCGGCAGACGTGGGGCGTTTATTTTGCGGCCTCGGCTTATAACGCCGGAGCCCTGTGATTAACATGAACTAACTCATTTTTATCCATCAAAAACTTCTTAATGATCAATGACATGTTTTGGTAAATCAACATTTGTATTACTGCATGCATTCTCACGTCTCTATCACTTGGGGTTGGTAGAAAGTTCCAAATATCATCTGTTAAAATTCTTGCATATGTATTAGTTTCTGATACAATCGTACCTCTGGTCATTAAGTTATTAACCGCGCCGGTAACATTGAGTATTATTTTGAGTTGTACGTGCAACTTGTGGTCAACCAACTTTGGTCTATGCAACTGGTAGTTAAATAAGTTCTTTTTTTTTTGGGTGTTTGAAAAATGAAAATCCGTTCGCAACGAAGAAAAACATAGCACTTTCGATTAAAAATAGTTTCATAGCTACGGAGAATAGTGATAGACGTACCCGTAAGACATTATTCAATGTTTCTAGAAATAAACCATTTAAATGTGAGCGGTTTGTTTTTCTTAGTACAGTAATTACTTTAAATACTTAATGAGACTCTTTAATTACTCATTGGGTGGCTTCAGTGCAGATTCATTCCCTGGAATTGCTGCCAAGAGCCCGCTGAAGTTAATTTGTTTCTTACAACCATGACAATTAAGTCTGTTGAAAACTGAAACCTTTTAGTAGAAGGACCGGATTGAATGTCAGGTACTTTAAAGACAATGGAATTTTGATTATCTTATCAGTGTAGTGGTAACAAGTACAACAGTAACTGTTGATCATAACGTATGATGTTCCCAAGTCACCCAAAATGTAAGCTTGTTACATGAAAATAAGTCACATGCCACATGCGACAGCAACATTTTTCATAATTATTTTATAACCGTAAAAATAAAATGTTCCAACGCGACGCAGGAATGTCTCCTGTACAAAGCCTCACAGTCGTAAATTTCTTGGCGCCCGAAATACGTAAAGCCCATTAAAAAATTAAAGTGAAAAGGGTCTCAGCTGTACTAGATCATTCTGTAATCCAGAGAGAGACACCAATTTCGTGCAAAAAGATAATCTTCAGAAGCATTTTAATTACTTTTAAAGCTCCCTTGTTAGACCTGTATTATGTATTCTGCACAAGACCGGGATTACCTGGCACCGTCGTAATATATGCTCGATCTTTTGCGCTCACGTGTAAAATTATATTTTCTGTCTCATTCCCTCTGACCTGTTTCTGACATGTAGAGGTAAGCTGGCGACCTGTGGAGTGTTTTGATGTTGTTTCCTGCTAAATCGCGTTAGTTATTCAGGAATGGTGATTAAGGGGTGACATTCTTGGCCTTGGGGGATTAAGGTGCGAAGGACGCCACAGTAATGGTGACGCCGCCGTGATGTGTGTGTAAGATTTATTGCGGCCATCCAACCGCATCTGGTTAAATTGGAAGCGAAAATGTTCTCGAACATTGTGGCGTCTTAGATACAAATAGGTAGTTTACGCGTTCCCTTGATGTTGATGATAATAACAGTAAATAGTCATTCAATATATTGTTTCACAAAAAGCATAGTTTTCTATCTCCATTGTGAGAAGACTCGCCTTTGCTAATGTAAAATCGAAGCATTAAGATAAGTTTATCAGTTTCCCATGGCCGCGTGAGTATCGCTAGTAAAAGTTGAACTAAACAAAATGTGCCTATTACTGCAGGAGGCAATCTCCATTCTCTCCAGTTTTATCGCTCGCTAGATGATATTGGACGAGTACATTGTACTGTACAGCTACATTGTAAAGTCTACGCTCAGATTACGTGGTACTTACTCCGGCGGCTTAAAATTTTAATGAGAGATAATCCCGCGATGACGGAATGACAAGAATATAAAAACTTTTTTAATATCTAGAGACTGTTTCGATTAGGTGATTGGTACTGAGTGATTAGTCCCTACTTAATTTCGGAATGAGACGAAATTTTTTAATTTCTAATTTATATGAAGTACTCTTTGGGTAGTATTCTTGAAATTGTCAGTACAAAGCTATCTAGAATGCTAATAACACAACCGGCGTGGGTGTACTGCCTTAGTCTCGGGTAGATTTCGGAGAAAATCAGGCAAGATATTATGGTATGTATGTAAATTCTTAGCAGTAGTACTGAGATTGTGTTCAGTGTATGGTTCCCCTATTACATGGGACAAGATGTCTTGGCCTTTTCATGCTTATCAATTATTGAAAGTTAGCGACAATTCTATTTTGAAATAGATTTCCTGCTTATAAAAAAGTAAAAAAGGACTGCCTCGTTGGCCGAATGGTCGCAAGTGCGACTGCAGGCCAAGGGGTCTCGGGTTCGATTCCCGGGTCGGGCACGGAGTCTGGAATTGCGCCCGGTATATGGCAATAGGCACACCCTCTATTACATGGGACTCATGACATAATAAATAGTGGGTGTTGCATTGTACAGTGGCATAATGTGCACCTCTGCCTACCCCTTCGGGGATAAAAGGCGTGATGTTATGCTATTTTATGTTATGTGAAAAGTAAACAAAACTGATCATAATAGAATTAAAGGTCAACAAATACGGCTCCGGTACGGCTTCAACCCAAAAATAAATGCGACTGCACGGTTGGTGCGGTGGCTGGGCAACCGGCTGCCGTGCAACGTGTCGCGGGTTCGATTCCCGCACGGGACAACACTTTGTGTGATCCACAAACTGTTGTTTCGGGTCTGGGTGTCTTTGTGTATGTGAACTTGTATGTTTGTAAACGCACCCACGACACAGGAGAAAATCCTAGTGTGGGGCAACGTTTAAAAAAAAAAAAAATTCATATGTCGTATGTCATACTTCATAACGTCAATATAAAAAAAGCTGTAAGCGCGCCGCCCGCGCGCCGGTGGTGCTCTTACCTTTTTGTATTGTTTCCAAAGCAAAAACGCCGTGCCGGAGCCGTGCTTGAACCGTGCCGTGCGCGTGTGCGATCACCTTAACATAACATGACATAACACTAAGATTTTTGTTCTGTAAACTGTTTTATACACATTAGTCTGGACTTTAAAAGAGACGAACCTCTGAGTTTGTTTCGGCATTTCTTCTCAGAGTAGTCGGTTAGGAAATGTCGACCTCATCGTTCGCTTGATAAAATTGACGTGTAAAAGTGCTGCCCTGTAGCCAATTTGCTACTTGTTGCACTTGCAAAGACATTATTGAAATTCAAACACTCAATAATTGGCAAAAACTGGAATCAGACACCCACACTTTGTTCAACCGTCGCAACTAACCGGAGAGTTCTTATCATTATAACTTCAGCCCTAGCTAAGCTATTAAACTTGTACTTAACTGCATAATGAGCACACACACACACACACATACGTTAGCTGACACACAATTACACATTCAATACACAGGACGCAGTTATCTACTTCACACAGCTCTCATAGTTTGGGGTTCGCGTCGTCAATCAACGACTGAACCGTTCCAAGCTCCCGTGTGTATAATCTATGGTATATACCAGTACTTTCATGGTGGTAGTAAGTTTGCAGATTATTTCTTACCTAAAATTTCTTTTTCATATTCTTCCGTCAGCTTACTTCCTAGTTGCTTTATCTTCAACACCCTATAAGTGGCCACTACTGACCAAAGGCCTCTTCTCACACGCCAAAGGTTTGGGCGCTACTCGCTATGCTTGCTCCATGTAGGTTGGCGATTTCAAATTAATAATTATCAATTATAAACCCAGGATATCTCACGATGTTTACCTTCACCGTTTGTCAGTGGTGTCTAAATAATCTTACAAAGTACATATAACTCTGATAATGTGATATTGGTACTTGCCGTTGGTAGGTTTCGGACCCGCACTCTCATGCATGAAAAGTGGGCGTCTTGAACCTCCGAGCTACTCCGCCCTAGTTTCCGTCTTGAAACTAAATGATGACTATAATGGAATAAGAAATAATGCAAAAATATACAATACGCGAACATTCTGGTCATGTATCGTGGCGGTGACTGTACCACACACGGACTCTTGGTACAGCGGTGTGTCGCTTCATGTAATATTCAATGCCACCTCCTTGTTTGTAAACTGACATCATTATTTTATGACGACACATGATCACTTGCGAATTTGTTATGGTATTAACATTTAATTTCTAGTATAAAGTATGTTAATAATAAAAAATAATTCCTTGAGATTCTTCTGGAGAAACAATCACCATGTAGGGATTTAGCATATCTTTATGTATTTGGAAATTGTTTTATACACAAGCCATCCAGTTGATCTTCGTTTTTTCTTTTCTTCTCGTGGAGATTCTTTCTTTTAAGTCTTTTGGTAACTATTAGGTCGTTCTTAAGATTCACTGATCTTATAAACTCTATAACGGAGATAAAGTTACTGTATATATATTAAGAAAGCTTCAACCATGAGACGCAATACTGAACCATATTTCCTTTACAGAAAGGATGATAAACCCGTGTACTGTGGCCGGCCTCCTGCTGGCCATCATCGCAGTAGTGGCTGCTGCTTCCTATGACCGGGAGCGGCTGGAGATTGCTAAGCAGATCCTGGAAGAAGTACCTCTCACTGATGGGTGAGTGTCATTAACTGCTATTGAAGTTGTAGTCAAATGATCAAAGATGTGCAACAATTTTACCATTACTATTGGAAACCAAACAATCAAATAATGTTCTAAATCGATAATCATAGCAAACAGTTTAGAATGTTTAAGCCATAGATCAAAGTCTAATCTGAACCAATACCAACTATTCGGTAACAAGTTTCATTGCTTTAAACACTAGAGATGTCGTGAAGTTTAATATTAATGTTTTAAATTAAAAACTTTCACTGTTATATTGTAACTACGCAGACGCCCAAATGTCCTCGATACAATCATCGAGCGAATTTTGTAAAGTGCTGACCTGAAGTTAAAAAAGGTCAAAGAAGTAGGTTACATGGATAGTTTCTTCAAGTTTGGCTTACGTTTTTTTTCTGAGAATCCATCATTCTCGCCTCATTAGGTAGGTCGTTACGCAATTTGCCAAGAAGTCTCAATTTTCTATGATTTCCACTGAAGTAGCTAAACAAACTAAATCGTAAAACATTTTAGTACACAAAAACTTAGTATTAGTGATAGTTTCCAATAAATTTCTCAACACTGTGTATGTTCCAAGTTGTTATGATACCCGAATTAATAACTACCAAAGTATAAAAGGTTATATAACACGGGGCTCTTAAAAGGAGTGATTAAACTTCGTGCGTGTTCGCGTTTGAAGTTGGTTGAAAACACCATTTTTTGAAGTTGGTTGAAAATTAAACTAAATCAAACAAAAGTAATAAATTGCCACCAAACGATCTCACACTAATGTCACGCCGCAGTTTATGAAGTAAAACTAATACATTAAAAGCAGGTCTCGACGTTCACACGTGGAGTAGAGCCACAAACCGCATTAGGAATAATTACGTAAAAGCTTGACTTAGTTCCAACGGGAGTTCCCGTGGCATGTGAGGGATTCTGGCGGATTACTTACAACGTGGTGAAAAAATGATTAAATGCTCTGCCTTGTGCAATGTGCACACTATGGAACCTTGCACAGAAGGTGTTTATGCTCCAGCAATACGTGACTGCTGGCTGAGGATACCTAATAGGATTTTGAGTCACCGCAGAAGTGATTAATGGTAATACCTTTAATACTAGACCATATAAAAATTGTATACATAATAAGGTACACATTTCAAGTGTTTTGCACTTACATCGTCAGCCAGTTTTGTGCGCAAATTTAGAGACACAAAAGGCTGAAATCTAATTCAGCTCAAGTTTACTAATTAGTAGTACAAAGTTCATTAAACCTAAAACAGCTGGTTGTTAATAAATAACCCACAGAGACATACGCCATGAAAACAGTATCAGAACTGTGATCGAGTGCGGCCTGTCATCCGAACTCCTAGTTAAGTGAACCACTGCGCTACTTGTGACTAAAGTAACAACCAGAAAAATAACTATTTAAGCTGGCGTCACACGGGAAGCGGGATAAAAGCAAAGTTGATACGCACTTCCAATTATGTCTCGCGGAAAGCGTCGGTCACCAAAACAAACATGAATAATATAGTGAATCGTATTAGTTTCGTTTTCGTAGTTTGAAACTTATTCATTAATTACAATGTACAGTAATAATGATGCATTTAAATTTTTCTACTAAGTATATATGTTCGTCATATCAGCCAGAACACGTCCTCTGCTGAACAAAAATTGTTAGGTACCTGTTGTTGTATTACATTTAGTAAGTAAGTATTTTAGCAGGACCAACATTCTCTTACCACTTCATCTAGTCTTCCAAAACGCATTCTGTGTTACCGAAACCTTACTCCAGTCGCAACGTCTGTTTGTCTGCTTGCCAAATTCCAGCTATAGCTTTTAAAACATTTCTAGAACAAAAACTGTTCTACTTAAAATTGTGGAATGAAAATATTTGTGGTCAACATTCATAAATTGTTATTGTTTTTGTTTACCCCTTTGTGTATTGTAACGAGAATTCTGAGAATTTAAAAGAATGTTTGACAGGCTGCCAGCGGTTCAAGCGAGGCTTTAAAAGCGCTTTTTGATTATAATTGTTTAAAAAATAGATTATATGCACTGGCATGACGTAATAGAAAATTTAAAAAATCTGTTTTTAAAAAAAGTGTTCAGTATTATGAGTTACTACAATGATAACAATGTTTGTCCTCAGCCATAATGACTTACCGTGGAACATCAGGAAATTCTTGCGCAACCAGATCAACGAATTCGAGCTGAACACCGACCTCACGGTGGTGGAGCCCTGGTCCATCTCCAAGTACTCACACACTGACCTGCCCAGGCTGAAGACTGGTATGGTGGGAGCACAGGTAAGACCCCGACTTCTTTACAATCTAATAGAAATACGTTTCTGTTTTACATCCTCAATCACCCCAATCCCTGAATCCCCAACGATCCTCAAACCAAAAAACCGGTAACGCACTTGTAACGCCTCTGGTGTTCCAGGTGTCCGTGGGCGACGCCGATTGCGATAGGGATGGTATTGACGAAATAGTCCAGGGAAAAGGTCACATCGTTCGAACTTTTTTAAAATAAACTGTCAATGGATAATATCAAAAACAATAAAATCAGTAGTGGTTATCATATACCAAATAGTGTGACATAGTCAAAAATTTATGGACAATTTTCCTTCCTGCAATGAACGATGGTCACGACTTTAGGAACTAAATCAGTATCATCGTTTATGGTTATTAGCGGTAGCCACGGCCCTCTCCAATCGTCTCAACGACCCCATAAATGGCGATAGTGGCCCACTAGACCATCATACACCATAACCGTTTATGAATTATTTAATAGGTCCCCTTAACTGCGACATTAATATTACTACCTACGAGCTGAAGTTAAGCAGCTTTTGTGACGATGATACTTGAATCGATAAGTTAATTATTGGCTGCACTTCAGCTTAGGCAAAGAGCTGATGCCAGCACATCAAGGTACTACAAACTATCGAGGTTAATTTCAACTTTATGATTTTGTAGTAAAGTCGATAGTCTAATGAGACAGTTTGTAGTTTCGGATAGCTTTATGTGCTTTATGGCTTCATGGCTGCGAGGCAAATGAGAAATTATTGTTCCCTATTACAGATAACAACAGACAAAATCGACGGCACTTAAACCAATTTCTAAATCTTAATTTTATCTAATATGTTATCATCTTTCAGTAGGTATCCTCTTTGTGGGCAAAATTTTAGATTTCCAATACTTTTCAAGGGCGTGACCTTGGACACAGAATGTTCGGCAATGTTCGAGAACTTTCTTGGATAATAACTAGTTGTAATAGTTTGATCGGGAAACTAATTGCTGCTTCAGATAGTTTGGTGTTACGTACCGAGTGGTTTAGCTCTTGTACGAATATTTCCCCGAAATATCCAAGATATTCACTCGGCAGACTTCACGTAATGTTACTCTCATAGTTTGTCCAATAGTTTGTTCGATCTTTAATAGTCACTATAATGTACGTAGTTTAGGGTATAATAACAGTTTGGGAAATCTATCAAGGTATAGAATTAATGAGCTATGCTATCACGCTTTAATGTGTTTTTCTATCATTATACATGGCTCAATTTCTTGATAGTGATTTGAGCTCGGGAGCCACCAATCAAAAGCCGCGACTACTCACAGGAGCGAGGTTATCCGGCTATATCTATACCCAAAATACCCTTTAAAATTCAACGGGCATAACAAATTGTATCCAATAACTCTTTGGTACGCAACAAAAATATTTATTGCTGGCATAAATTCAAATTAGACCCCAGTTTGCGACTGTGGGTGCAAAAACACGGATCGGAGTTAAGGAGGGGATTTTGCCCTCCTGTAAACCCTCCTAATGTATGGCATGCGTTTGTTTTGATGGTAATTGACTCCAGTCTAATGCAGGTGCAAACTGAATGTAGTCAGTGCAAGGAAAATTAGGGTTACATTAACAACTTATTAATTTGCAATCAGCTTACGATTCCATTTCTTGCGGATTAAAAAAACTCATTAAACTAGATTTTCAAAAATCTCAGTATAGAATACAAAAAATATTGTCTTGATACTTTTAAAACCGTGTGTTTCTTGTATTATAATTATGATCATTCCCTGACGGTTTACCGACTAGAAACGTGCAACCATCTTCTATTGTCCACTAAAAATACTGCCCCGAAAAAAAACAAGGAAACTTCATAAGAAGATGATGTTCTCTCACAACATTAAGTACAAAGCCCTCGAACAATTTGTAATGGGGTCAGCGACATGATAGTAATATACCGGTGAAAAATTGTGGGTCATTTAACCCGGCCTCTGGCTGGCGATAAAACGGAACTATTTGTAAAACTCGTAAACTTTTCCTCAAGAGTTCTTATCATGAAGGCGACGGAAGGTCCCCTACTTTCGCAAATGTTTATACAATTCTTTTCTAAGTATCTCCCCTGAGGAATAAACCTAAATGTGTGTACATAGTACCACTCTTATTGCACTAGAAGCCTAGGCGATCCAAATATTGAAAACAATTTCGTACTCCAGATATAATTTCGAAATCGAAAAAACCCAATAATAAGTTCGCGACCCACACTTGCGACCAAATCAAGTCCTATAGCTAGATATTACTAGAACTTCGCTTATTCTTTTTAGCTTGTATTTGTATGCAATATATGTACATATACTGATTTTATGTACTTTACAACAACTTTTTAAATCAACTCGATTTTAATTTAAGATTTGCTTAAATATCGTGCCATCTCTATCGTTTTACAACGAATGAATAGTGACAAAACTATACTTAAACACGAATTAAAAATTGAGGCACGTTCGATTATTTAGTCGTTAATAACTTCAGTGATAGACTTAAAATACTTAAAGAAAGAAAGAAAGACTTTCATACCATATTCCTATCCAAAGTAAATGTAGCTGTTACCTGGATATTTAACGCCCTTTATTAAAATAGGTGGTCTCTCAAACGTAAACGTGTGCACACACACTCACCTCTCTCCTTGGCCGAACCGTTTACGAATTTATAAAAAAGAACCCTTTGCAACTCTTATTCAATTACATTGAGCCTACATAGGAAATCTTATTGCATTTAAAACCTTATTCCTTAGGACCCAAAGTAGATTTTCCTATTATATTTCGTTCGAGCAGGATATGATTTGTTTTCTATCCATTGTTGGGAATTCCCTCAACAAAAATATTTTATGCGTATGGAAATCGTGGACTATCATAAGAATTTTCGTACAAAAGTGTGTGTATATCACGATCCACGTTTTCAGATAAATGTGGATCGTGTGAATCACACGTTTATACTTTGGAATCATGTGAAAGTAAAAAAGCCCAAAACATTAGCATAGAGCTGCCGCTGCTGGAAAATTTTTGACAGTAATCATTTGCAATATTGAAATATAATATAACATAATGATTATATTTATATACATTCAGGAACAACAAATCACATTTAATATCATGAAAGAACTTAAATAAAATTAACACAAACACAAAACTTTTTATTTTTAGAAACCGGTTCAAGAAATAAACTTCCTTCTAACAATTCTTTCTCCTTGCTCCTCAAAACTTTCTTTGGAAATAAAAAGTGTAGGAGCTTCATTCATTCCTGCAAACACAGAACCTCCTAACCAACCCAACGAGTGTGCTTCCGTAGGTTCGTCTATAGTGATGTGTTTACCAGAGATCGATTCGATCTCTTGACACAAACGCTTGACAAATCCTGGGATGAGCATACCGCCGTGCACGACGATAGACTCGTAGAACTCAGGCTGTAGTTCTTTATCACATTTTGCAATTGACGTCACAATAGCTTGCTGTATGGAGAGACAGTCCTTCGCCTTGTCGCCCAGCACCAGTTCTGGCTGGAAGTATATCTCACCCGCCCAGAAGGCCTCGTCGCCCACGTTAATGGTTGTTGAATACCCGGGTATAAATAGTTTTTTACGGTAACTCTTTTTACAATTAGGCACAGACGAGTCCATGGTGACGTACGCCTGTTTCCAGATCTTAGCCAACAGTTCTTCAGTAATATTGGCTGCCCTAAAACCGCGTTTACAAATATTCTCCAGCATCATATTCTTTATCTCAGTTCCAGCAATATTGGTTACCATATTAGCGTATGTGAGAGATCCTCCTTCGTATATTGGGTGAATTTCAGTACAATCTTCGCCCAAGTCTACTGAGAGACCGGTGGTAACCCCCGAACCAAAGAGGGCCAACAAACTTTGAGGTCTCATGCACATACTCATCGTGTTTAAACTTTCGAAGAATATTTCGCAGCATTTTACTCTGGAATTAAGAGAAGTAACAATAAAATAAGTTGAAAATAAATCAAACTCATTTAGTTTCTGCCAACGTCCCTATACTTTAGCAGTATTTAAAATTTACTTCTCTAATAAACCTTTACACATTAGAAAATTAAGTTAACAACATAAAAGAAAAAAGTTTTAAACATAAGTGTTTATTTACGCGGCAGTAGTGTACAAGCAGAAATAGGTGATAGTGTATATTGTACACAAGTAACAAAGCTTTATGATCTGTGATAATTAAAATTAGACCTAATATTACAGAACCACCTCTAACATGTAGGTACGTACTGTCCTCGACAAGCAAAGCGTTAGGGAAATAAAACTGAATGATTTGGCACTTACAACCAGTACTCAGTGATAACATTGTAAATGTAAAAAATCATCACCCCTTCAAAACTCAAAAAAATAGGTGCTTATAATTAAAAATAAAGATAAAATAAAAATAATAAGAAACAATTGAATAAAATTCATAAAAAATGTATGTACATCGGGTTATAAAAAATACATTAACAGCATTTGCCAGAAACATTACAGACTCAGGGTGAACCACTTATACGTGATTGACGTTAAAAAAATAATAAACTTATAAAAAAAGATACTATTACCTTCTCATCAAAATAAATAAGTATACATGAGTAAGAAGAAAACAATAAAAAAAGTATGTTACACAGTAACAATAATGTTGATTTCAGGCAATCATTAAAAATAAACAATCTAAATAATCTCACTGCAATTCTTTTGACATAAATTACAATAAGTGTATCAAAAATCTTTCATATATTCAATATTGCATTTATAAAACAAAATGTAAAAAAAGTGATTTTACGCAAAGGAAGTTAAAGACAAAATAAATATGCTTGCGTTACAAAATAAAAGTACAGTTAACGTAGTAATAAGTTATAAATAAATGACTGATGCTCATGATTTGAATCGTTTTAGATACGTACTTTAAATGATCTTCAAAGGTGTAAACCGTAGCACCCTTTAAAAATATATACAACCAATGATCAGAGCCAGTTCAGA